CACAGCAGCCCTTTTGAGCCGACTCAAACGCCACACACAGCAGCCCTTTTGAGCCGAATCAAACGCCACACACAGCAGCCCTTTTGAGCCGACTCAAACGCCACACACAGCAGCCCTATTGAGCCGACTCAAACGCCACACACAGCAGCCCTTTTGAGCCGACTCAAACGCCACACACAGCAGCCCTTTTGAGCCAAATCAAACGCCACACACAGCAGCCCTTTTGAGCCGACTCAAACGCCACACACAGCAGCCCTTTTGAGCCGAATCAAACGCCACACACAGCAGCCCTTTTGAGCCAACTCAAACGCCACACACAGCAGCCCTTTTGAGCCGACTCAAACGCCACACAGCACCCCTTTTGAGCCGACGCAAACACCACACACAGCACCCCTTCCCCCCACCTGACACAGCAGCCCCTTCTTGATGTCATCGATTTCACAGATGGATGGGGCTAGGGAGCGAGCCTGCTCTTCACATCAACCCTCACTAGAACCAACAGCCGCCTTCGCTCATACCCTAACTTCGCCCCTACCTGGCACAGCAGCCCCTTCTTGATGTCATCCAGCTCATAGATGGATGGCGCTAGGGAGCGAGCCAGCTTCTCGTATATGTCCGGCTGCCGGGATAACTCCCTAAATGCCTCCACCTGGGGAGGCGCACAGGGGAAGAGGGCAGGTTCTTGATGAGGCGACTTTTGAGTAAACTTAAAAGCCAGGGAGCAAGCCATTTTCTCGTATATGTCCGGCTGCCGGGATAGCTCCCTAAATGCCTCCACCTGGGGAGGCGCACAGGGGAAGAGGGCAGGTTCTTGATGAGGCGACTTTTGAGTAAACTTAAAAGCCAGGGAGCAAGCCAGCTTCTCGTATATGTCTGGCTGCCGGGATAGCTCCCTAAATGCCTCCACCTGGGGAGGTGTGGAAAGACAGAGGAGCTCAGGAGGAGTGGACTGATATGTTGAGGCACCCAACGAAACGAACCAGCTTCTCGTATATGTCAGGCCAGTGGGATAGCTCTCGGAATGCCTTCACCTGGGGAGGTGTAAAGTGGGAGGGAGGAGCACAGCAAAAGTCGACAGATGGATGATGAAATAGTTGATATTGCACGCTTTTTTTTTGCCTGACATGGATGGATGGATGGATGGATGGATGGATGGATGGATGGATGGATGGATGGATGGATGGATGGTTGATGGATGGTTGGATGGATGGTTGATGGATGGTTGGATGGATGGTTGATGGATGGTTGGATGGATGGTTGATGGATGGTTGGATGGATGAGCTGGTTGGCTGGATGGACAAAAGAGGACATACCTGCTGCGGAGAGAAGTACGCAGCATCGGGGTTGGCGTCATCCGCATCACCCGCAGCAGAGGCCGCCAGCGGTTGCGGCTGCGACTGCTGCGCTGCTCCCTTGGTGCGCGTGCGGCCCCCCTCTTCCTTGCGGATGTGAATGCAGTCCAGGTAGGTCTGAGAGGGGAGAGGGGAAGGGGGGGAAGAGAGGGAGGGGGGGTAAGGGTAGGTTACGAAGGGTGTTCTGGGCGGCGTCAAATGCACCCCCCTCCTCGTTGAGAGGGGGAACCGGGGGGGGGTGGGGGGAGGGGGGGGGAGAAGATAGAGGGCAATGGAAGAAGGGAGGAGGAGTGGAAGCTTGGTGCAGAGAGGGGAAAGGGGATGCGGGCGGGATAGCCAGGAGGAATCCATGGGATAGCCAGGAGGAATCCACGGAAGAGCAAGGAGTGGGCTGTTTTGACACGTGGATGCCTGCCCTTTCTGGCAGATAGCCCCAAAACAGCTGCATGCAGCAAAACGTCGCTTTGTCAATGTTAGTTTGCAGCAAAAAAGAAGAGAGAAAGAGAGAGACAAAGCGCTGGTAGTAAAGGGGCAGGGTCACTGGGCTAAGCTCACTAGCCTATTCCTTAGGCCACAAACGTCAGGTACTCCGCCAACAACATAATCACCACACCACACTTCTGCGGCGGAGGCCAAGTAGCACCCACCCACCCACCCACCCAACCACCCACCCGGTACAGCGAGCGCAGGTTGCGCTGATTGGAGTTGACTCGCACAGGCACAGCGCGGAAGACACCCGTGACCTGCATTCGGAGTCAAGAGGGCCGTTCCAAGGGGCACACACAAAAGCCAAACCAGACCAGATCAGGGCCGTTGCTAGGCGCCTCAAAACACGGACAAGGGCAGAGTTTAGAGTGTAGAGTTCCAGCATCTCTTGCCTCAGCACATGTAGAGTTTAGGGTGTAGGGTTCCCCCATTATTGCCCCAGCCAGGCACAATGCGGGCGGTCTTCCCCTCAGGCATGTCCCTCTCTACTCAATACACCCAATCTGGTTCCATGTGGTAACCATCTCACCTCCACTCTATCGCCCGGCTTCGCAGTATTTGCGAGCGAGTCAAACAGGAACACAGACACCGTGTGGGGGTTCTCCCCTCCGGCATGTCTTCCGATGTCTCCTGCAGCCGCTAAACCCCTCTTTGTGCATGGAAGTAGCAACCCCTCACCTCCATCCGATCGTCCGGGTTGGCAGTATCCACCGATGAATCAAACAGCAACACCGTTCACAACCCCTCTGTGTGCACACAATCATCCTCTCACCTCCACTCTATCTCCCGGCTTGGCAGTATCCACCAGCGAGTCAAACAGGAACACAGACACCGTGTGCGGGGTCTCCCCTTCAGGCATGTCTTCAGGTGTCTCCTGCAGGCGCAGCATCTGCTTGTTGATGAACCGGCTCCGGTTGTGCACCAGGGTCATGCTGTTCAGCGCCCCGCACTCTGGCCAGGGACACCTCCTGGGTTCCTCTATCACTCCTGGAAGGTTGGAAAGGGAGGGGAAAAAGGTAGGGGAGAGAAGGGAGGGATGTTCTCAGGTGTCTCCTGCAGCCGCAGCATCTGCTTGTTGATGAACCGGCTCCGGTTGTGCACCAGCGTCATGCGGTTGAGAGCCCCGCATTCGGGCCACGGGCACCTCCTTGGCTCCTCTATTACCCCTGATGAATAGCAACAGCGGAGGGTGGGGGGAGGGGGAGGGCGCGGAGAGGAAAGGGCAGATGGGAAGACCAGGAAGGGAAGAGGTGTGTCCTACAGTCAGTCATAGCGTCTGCTTGATGTTGAACTGGCTTACCTCGGTCAACCCTAAACCTGAAACCCTTAACCCTAAAAATCTACATCCGAAACCCTAAATCCTGAGGTCGAAGAATGACCGCACACCAGGCACTTCAAGTATTCGAGGTGAGAAGGTTAGCGGGTAAAGAAAAGGGGAAGAGAAGGGGATGAGAAGGGGGAAGCGAAGGGGGAAGAGAAGGGGAAGAGAAGGGGATGAGAAGGGGAAGCGAAGGGGGAAGAGAAGGGGAAGAGAAGGGGAAGAAGGGGGAAGAGAAGGGGGAAGAGAAGGGGGAAGAGAAGGGGAAGAGAAGGGGGAAGAGAAGGGGGAAGAGAAGGGGAAGAGAAGGGGAAGAGAGGGGGAAGAGAAGAAGGGGAAGAGAAGGGGGAAGAGAAGGGGAGGAGAAGGGGAGGAGAAGGGGGAAGAGAAGGGGGAGGAGAAGGGGGAGGAGAAGGGGAGGAGAAGGGGGAAGAGAAGGGGGAAGAGAAGGGGAAGAGAAGGGGGAAGAGAAGGGGAGGAGAAGGGTGAAGAGAAGGGGGAAGAGAAGGGGGAAGAGAAGGGGGAAGAGAAGGGGGAAGAGAAGGGGGAGGAGAAGGGGGAGGAGAACGGGAAAGAGAAGGGGGAGGGGAAGAGAAGGGGGAAGAGAAGGGGAAGAGAAGGGGGAGGAGAGGGGCAAAGCAATGACGTGGTTCTGCTTACCCCTGTCTACAAGCACGAGGTCGGGCGAGTGGCCGCACACCAGACACTTGAAGCAGGCCGCCTTGATGTCTGGGATGATGGACGACGTGCGGATCACCATGCCCCGCACGGCCACCAGAGCATCGATGTCTGGTTGTGTAGGAGGGGAGACGGGGGTGAGAGAGGGGTGACAGGCAAGGGAGGAGGGGAGGAGGGGAGGAGGGAGGAGGGGAGGAGGGAGGACAAGCCTTGATGCCGGGGACGTTGGACGACGTGCGGATCACCACGCCCCGCACGACCACCAGGGCGTTGATGTCTGATTGGGAAGGAGAGGAAGCAGGGGGAGACAGGCAAGGGGACAGGGGAGGACAAGCCTTGATGCCGTGGATGCTGGAGGGCGTGCGATGACCACGCCCCTTACGACCACCACTGCCTCCATGTCTAGTTTTAATGGAATAGGAGCGGGAAGGGAGAGAGAGGGGAGGCGGAGGCACACAAGGCACTTGACACTAACAGCCTTGATGCCTGGGATGCTGGAGGGCGTGCGGTGTGGATGACCATGCCCCCTGCGGCCACTGGAGCATGAGGAGTCTATTTTGAGGCGCCTGAAAAATAGACTCCTCAGCCTTGATGCCTGGGATGATGGAGGGCGTGCGGAGCAGTTGACCATGCCCCCTGCGGCCACTCGGCATCAATATCTGGTTGGAATGGAATAGGAGAGGGAGAGGGGAGAGGAGAGGGGGAGAGGGGAGAGGGGAGAGGGGAGAGGGGAGAGGAGAGAGGGGAGAGGTGAAAGGTGGGACAAGAGTTGCTCTTATGTCAGGAATGATGGAGGAGGTGCGGATGACCACGCCCCACACTGCTGCCCGCGCATCAATGCCTGGTCGGCGTGGGGAGAGAAAGCACAAAAAGAGGAGATTACAGAAAGAGAGATTTCAGAAAGAGGAGATTTCAGAAAGAGGAGATTTCAGAAAGAGGAGATTTCAGAAAGAGGAGATTTCAGAAAGAGGAGATTTCAGAAAGATGAGATTACAGAAAGAGGAGATTTCAGAAAGAGGAGATTTCAGAAAGAGGAGATTTCAGAAAGAGGAGATTTCAGAAAGAGGAGATTTCAGAAAGAGGAGATTTCAGAAAGATGAGATTACAGAAAGAGGAGATTTCAGAAAGATGAGATTACAGAAAGAGGAGATTACAATGCCATGGCGGTCAGAACGATGCATGAGGTACGGCTACAGGGGCGTGCTTTGGAGGGTATGGAATACACACCTGAGGGGTTGAGATCGCGCATGTGCACCGTGTCACGCAGGTTGAACGTGCGCACCTGAGGGGGGAGGGAGGGGTGGCGTAGGTAGGAACGAACGGGAAGAGAAGGAGGAGTGGCAAAGGAACAAAAGGGGGGAAAACCCAGCTGGGTGTAATGAGTCGATTTTTTAGTCGACTCAAAAACCCAGCTGGATTTGCTTGTAACAGACATGCCTAAGACACCCACCAAGATGTGCTTGTGACAGATGCGGTAAAAACACCCACCTGGGTGTGCTCGTAACAGATGTGCTTATACCGCCCACCTGGATGTGTTTGTCCCACATGGGCATGCGGTCGGCCGCCAGCTCAGCAATCTTGATGTCGAAGATCGGGATGACCTCCAATGGGTAGCGCACAAGCATGCGGTACAGCTCAGCAGAGAACGCGTACACGTCAGCACAGTCCACAGGGAATGTATCTCCTTCCATCTCTACTAGCTGGCGTGATTGAAATGTGAGGGGGAGGGGAATGTGGAATTGATGGGGGGTTTGGGAGACCACCCATCTGGGAAAGGCTGAGAGGCAGAGAAGGCATGTTGCAGTCCAGTGGGAAGCTGTCTCCCTCCATCTCCACCAGCTGACGGGATGAAGGGAATCGGGGATGTGGCCGAGGGGGATGTGGCCGAGGGGGATGGAGGGGGGTGGAAAGGGAGAGGGCGGAAGGGGGGATTGGATATGGCACTGCAGAGAAGGCAAGGCACACACGTCAGAACAGTCCACTAGAACGGTGCCCGTGCGTGATTGTGTGTTGTGCGGGTGTGGGGGGAGGGGGGGGAGGGGAGGGAGGAAGGGGGAACGGGGAAAGGTGGGGGATTGGTTGGGGGGTTTGGAAGGGACTGCTTGGTAGAGAAGGCGTACACGTCAGCACAGTCCACAGGGAATGTTTTTTAGAATTCTTTGTCTCCCTCCATCATCATCAGTGTGTGTGTGAAGGGGGAGGGGGGGGGGGGGGGGTATGGAAGTGGTAGGGGATTTGGGAGGGACTGAGAACCAGAGAAGGCATACGCAGTCCACGGGGAATGTGTCTCCTTCCATCTCCACCAGCTGGTGTATGTGTGCCACTGTGGAAGAGATGCAGGGGCAGGTGGCTTAAGTGAGAAAAGACAGATTTACACGAGTAGTTTGGAATATAATGACATGTGACAAGCAGGAGGAGAACACGAGTAGTATTTCCTCATTAACCTATTATCCCTCTTGTGTGCTCCCTTGCCCTCATCCCTCTCACCCTAAACCCGCAACCTTAAACCCTGAACTCCCCCTCACCTTGTCCGGCTGCTGCGAGTACTGGGTGTGAGTAGCATCGTCCGCCTCCCTAAAGTGCTGCACGAACGACAAAGACTTGCTTGCTCTCACTCCATCACCCTCCCTTATCTATCCCTCTCACATCCCCTCGTCCCACTGATCCTCACCTCGTGCAGCTGCTGCGAGTACTAGGCGTGAATAGCATCGTCCGCCTCTCTGACGTGCTGCACGAACGATGCCATCTCGTTTGCTCTCATCCCCTCATCCCTCTCTTACCCCTCATCTCCATCACCATCACGCCACCCCCCCTCCCGCCCCAACCGCATCCCCCCCCATTTTTACCTCGTCCAGCTGCTGCGAGTACTTGGCGTGGATAGCATCGTCTGCCTCTCTAAAGTGCTGCACGAACGACGCGAACTTGCTCGACACGTCCTGCACGCTCACCCCCGTGCCCCACACGTACGTTCCCTCCAGCTCCTCCTCCCCCTCCTCCCCCATCGCCTCCGCCTCTCCCCCAAGCGCATCTCCCCTGCCCCTGCTCTCCCTGCTCCCCCTGCCCCTGCTGCCCCTGCTGCTGTTGCAGCTGCTGCTCCTCCTCTACCCCTCTGCGGCTGCCGATGCTGCTGCTGCTGCTGGTACTGCTCCCACGACATCCTGTCCTGCTCCGAGTTCCCTCCCTGGCGTGGCATAAGCGAAGTGTGCAGGGGGGGGGGGGGGGGGGAGAAGGGAGGGCAACAAGTGTGCTTTTCAGGTGCTCACAGGTGGAATCGCCGCCTGCTGCTGCTGCTGGTACTTCTCCCACGACATCCTGTCCTGCTCCGAGTTCCCTCCCTGGCGTGGCATAAGCGAAGTGATAAGGGCGAAGGGATGGGTAACAAGTGTGATGTTCAGGCGCCTCCCAGGCAGTATCACCAGCTGCTGCTGCTACAGCTGCGGATGCTGCTGCGGCTGGTACTGCTCCCACCACATCCTGTCCTGCTCCGAGTTCCCTCCCTGGCGTGGCATAAGCGAAGTGATAAGGGCGAAGGGATGGGTAACAAGTGTGATGTTCAGGCGCCTCCCAGGCAGTATCACCAGCTGCTGCTACTACAGCTGCGGCTGCTGCTGCCGTACTGCTCCCACGACATCCTGTCCTGCTCCGAGTTCCCTCCCTGGCGTGGAATAAGCGAAGTGATAAGGGCGAAGGGATGGGTAACAAGTGTGATGCTCAGGCGCCTCCCAGGCAGTATCACCAGCTGCTGCTGCTACAGCTGCGGCTGCTGCTGCCGCTGGTACTGCTCCCACCACATCCTGTCCTGCCCTGAGTTCCCTCCCTGCCATGGAGTGAGCAGAGGGGAAGGTGAGCGGAGTGAAACGGGCGGGTGGGGGGAGTTGTAGAGTGTGGTAGGGGGTGGGGAGAGGAAGTAAAAGAGGGAGAGGGGAAGAGGGAAAGAGAGGGCCTGCATATCACAGTTTCACCTACCATGCTATCTGATGGCTCTGGTGGCCCTGGCGTGCTGACCGACAAGTGTGCCAGAAGGCGCACCTCCCCCAGATACCGCCTGCCCCGTTGCACTCTTGAGGCGACTCAAAAGCCAATGCCACCTACCATGCTATCTGACGGCTCAGGCGGCCCTGGCGTGCTGACAGGCGTGCCTGAAGGCACACCTCCCCCGGATGCGGCCTGCCCCGATGCACCCTGCCTGCGGCGGTGGAACCTGCGACGCTGAGCCATGGAGCCGCCCAGGTCGCTTCTGGGGAAGGACGGACTGAATGGCGAGGAGGTGGTGGGAATGGCCAAGAGTGGGGGAATGGTCAAGAGTGGGGGAATGGTCAAGAGTGGGGGAATGGTCAAGAATGGGGGGGCGGGAATGGTCAAGAATGGGGGGGGCGGGAATGGTCAAGAATGGGGGGGGCGGGAATGGTCAAGAATGGGGGGGGCGGGAATGGTCAAGAATGGGGGGGGCGGGAATGGTCAAGAATGGGGGGGGCGGGAATGGTCAAGAAAGGAACTATGAGATGCGAAAGGAACAGGACAGGATAGACAGGAAGACGGGTTGACGTTTGACGGAAACCGTCAGACGACAAGACGAGTTATTTCAATTGAGTCAAGAAGGTAAAATAGGAACAACCTCCATGAGTTTATCCACAAAAAAATAACTTCGATGACTTTTTCCTTTTTTTCTCCCAAAATAGGACCTTTCTTCCTTTTTCCCATCAGCAAGGCGTTTTGAATATACATATAACCACGACAGATCCGCCTGAACTGACAAGAAATGGCTCCGCCAAGAAAACGAGCGACCCATAAAGCGGACAACCGCAGGGGGGAGCCAAGATTAGGGAAACGAGCGAGCGAGTGCGCGAGCGTGACGCACGTGGATCGGAAGGTGGGTTGCTGCGAGCTGTACGGACTGCCGGCGCTCGCGCGAGGCGTCAGGTGCAGCTGAGGCGAGCTCGATCGCCCAGAATCCCGCGGAGTTAGCGGGGTCTGCTCCGGCGTTCGCATGGATCCCTGCGGGGTTTGCGCCGGCGTGCGCATCGAGTCTTGCGGGGATTGCCCGGAGACGCCATTGCCGCCGCTGGCTGGATTTCCGTCTGATGACATCTTGCCGTAGGGTTAGTTAGATGGCAGTTGCATTGATCAGCAAGACACTACTAATGACACTACTAAGGCGATGTGAGAGGGAAATGCAATTCTGGAATCTGGAACCGTGTCGGTGTAGTAAGTCCTCATGTCAGATTTTACCCGCCGGCTCGTTGCAGGCCGACCCCGATAATCTGATAAACAATGCATGCGCATCTCTTACCTAACTTACTGATTTGCTATTATTTGCAAAACTTCACTTCTCAGGTTTGGGCCATAATTAAATATTCACGCGATCAATGATGATAAGGGATGGATTGCACAAATCAACGAAACCACTTAATAGAAATGGTTAGACAGTTAAATACAAACTTCAATATGTATGATAACATCAAGTATCAATCAGCTGGTGAGAAACAAAATCGATTCTATTGAATCTGAAAATCATATACCATATTTATCCTTTCCCCCATAAGCTCAGACACCACACAGTACTCTTGCACTCTGTTTTGTGCTTGCAGCGGGTATAGAGGGTTTGTTCCTCGAGTGCCTGCATTGTCCGCCACACCACCTCCACTTCCAACTCCGCCCACTGCTCCTGCTCCAGCCCGCCTGCACCCGCCTACCACCATTCTCCCACTCTTGCAGCGCGCCGAACCCTTACAAGATCACGCCAAGAAAAGACTCTCATTCTTTCATACATCGCGTCGAGTCGGAGGAAGGAGACTCCGTTCAATTCGATTCGCCGCTCTCATTCGTCGATTCGCCGCCATGTCCGCTCCGGAGAAGCCGCTGGTGTCGGAGGAGGAGATGGCGCAGGCGCGGCTGAGCCTGGGCGCGCGCGATCTGTGCGCGCACCTGCTGATTCCGCTGAACCGGTGCCGCACGGAGACGCTGTTCGCGCCGTGGAAGTGCAGCGACGAGCGACACTCGTACGAGAAGTGCGAGTACGAGCTGTTCCTCCGGCGGATGAAAAAGATGGAGGCCTTCCGCGAGGCCACGCAATGAACCGATATAAGCACGCGCGATAGGTGAGGTGAGGGAGAGTGGATGCGTGGATGAGGGACATAGACGGGTGACTTTTCTTAGGCGCCTCATAACTCGTTTGAAAAAAGCTGTGGGGTTTCGAGAGCTGACGCGCCTCACAACCCTTCTCGAGAGCCGTGGAAGTGCGGCGACGAGCGGCACTCGTACGAGAAGTGCGAGTACGAGCTGTTCCTACGCGAGGAGTCTATGTTTGAGGCGCCTAAAAAATTGACTCCTCACGCATGGAAGTGCGGCGACGAGCGGCACTCGCACGAGAAGTGCGAGTACGATCTGTTCCTGCGGCGCATGCAGAAGATGCATGCGTTCCGCGAGGCCCCGCAATGACCTCGCTATAGTCACACGCCATAGGTGAGGGAAATTACTATTCGTGCCAAACCTCGTTGTTCAGGGGCAGGATGCAATGGATTCCTATCTGGGGATTGATTTATGGCCTCGTTTTAGTCACGCTCAACGGGTGGGGGGAACTGGATGAGGGGCATAGTCATCGACGGCTGTGGTCATGTGATAGGGCGGGCGGATGTGCAATGACGAGGGCGTTTCCTGGACTTGTCGAACCGCTTCACGCTCAAGGGCGTTTTCTCAGGGTGATGCTCCTGTCTTTACCTTGAGCAGGGAGCATTGGTACGGAGAAGGCGAGAGGCTGATCTGATCTGAACTAGGGTCCTCTGACACACCTTTAGTATCACACGCTGTTGAATGCTATGACGAACCTGCTGCAATCTGTTGTTGCGTAACCCTAGACTCCGATGCTTTCTAAACGAGCTTTCAAGTGGGTGGTCACTCTCTGACCATGTATGCTCCCTGATCACGTCCTTTGATGCGCTTCTGTCATGATTCGGCAATTTGGTGTTAATTTTCGGAGGAAAGGCACTGATGAAAGGTTCGAGAGAGAGCCAGATTCAAGCCTTGGTGCCCCTTTGCTTGTGTCATCAGCTAGGGTTTCCATTGGGGGCATTTCGGTTTGTTCATACCTATATGAGCCAGCACCTTGGATTGCCACTTCCATTGAAGCTTTGTACTTTTTCATTGTACCGTCATGCCTAAGCTTGTTATCGTTTCCCCATGTTTGTTTGGCCTCTGTTTTCTGCTCCAATGGCTTCGGTACTCTGCTCCAGGTTCAAGCATTTGTTCCAGGCCAAGGAACTACTGGACTTGACTAAGGCAAGCCCTGTGACATTCTCAATGTAACTTTCTCGAGTGCAGCTGTGATTACGAAAACAAGCTGCAAGCTGTCTTGTGCATACATTCACTGTAGTCCGCAATGTGCATAGCATGGTAGGTGTTGCAGTATATTGTAGGACTCATTGTAATCGAAGACAATCGCCTGGTTACTCAAAATATGTGATATTCTATAGGTCCCTATAGAATAACCGTCAATTAATTTGGAGATGCGTACATACTTTATCTTTACAGTTCACATGCAGCCTTCGTCAATTTATACATATATTGTTACGTAGAAGTTATAGGCTAGATAGGGTATGTTCTAAGTGGGTACAACCCAAACGCTAAATCTCCCCTGTTCTCCCTTCTATTCATTCTTTCTAGTCTCAACATGGTATCACGAGTAGGTAGGTCCACCCACCCGCTTCCGCCCCGTGCTGCCACCTACCGAACCCTCGCACCCCTAGCTGGCCCCGCGCGCCCCTACGGCCCCGTCGCACCCCTACAGCCCCGTCGCGCCCCTAGCAAGCCCCGTCTCGCCCCTACCGGCCCCGTCGCGCTCCTACGGCCCTGTCGCGCCCCTAGCCGGCCCCGTCGCGCCCCTACCGGCCCCTTGCGCCTCTAGCCGGCCCCGCGCGCCACTACGACCCCTCGCGCCCCTAGCCGGCCCTGTCGCGCCCCTACCGGCCCCTCGCGCCCCTAGTCGGCCCCGTCGCTCCCCTACCGTCCCCTCGCGCCCCTACGGCCCCTCGTGCTCCTACCAGCTGGCCCCACGCGCCCTTGCCGGCCCCTTGCGCCCTAACTGACCTCGTCCCCTGAGCTGTCGAGCCGCCGTGTCCCCGAGCCGCCGAGTCGCTGCGCCGCTGAGCCGCTGTGCCGCTGTCACACTGTGCGACAGCGGACGCCGTTCTTCGCTTGGACGCTGAGGGGCACGCGATCGACTTCGCCGCCTGGCTCGTCGACCTCCGCCGGCACCTGACAGGTCAGCGCCAGGATGGGCACTCCCTGGCTATGCATGTTGATGGTTTGCTTCCCCGCCCCCCTGCGCCTGGTCCCCTCCCTCCTGACCCTACCACTGTTGAGAGCGAGGCTTTTGCTGCTGCTGCGCTTGCTCGAGCTGTCTGGGATTCTCGCGACGTAGTAGCCCAGCTTGCCATTAGCCATGCCCTCCCCTTGTCTGAGTGTCTGCGCTTTACAGCTATCGCGAATGCCAAGGACTTTCTCGCTGCAGTAGTTGAGCGTTACTCCACACCTGCTTCCGCCTCTGTTGGCCGCTTGATCCTACCTGTCACAGGATGGAATGTCCCGAGGAAAGGTTTGCTCAATGTTCCACTATCAATCAGTACAAGGGGCTTTTATACTTCCAGATTACATCAGGTAACCAGGTTTATCCTATCCAAAGGAAATAGACCCTTCTAGAAATAGAATCACCCTGCGTATAGCCACGCGAGGCTATTGGCTTTAAGGGATTACGACAGGATTACGCTAGATATAGCGCGCCAGTACATCCCGAGCCTGGTCGGTGATATAATTATAATAACAGGATAAACCAAAGGATAATGGAAAATGAGGAATAGGAAACCAAATGAGATAAGATAAAGACCAAATGAATCAGGAGTGAAAGAGGAATGAAATAGATAGGAAATATGAAAAGGGGAAATTGGTGTAACGGGGTCGTACTCTCACACTTCCCCCCCTCAAAGCTGGGTGGTACAAGTAACACCCTGCTTGACAAGGTAGTCATGCAGAGGACGACGGGCGTTACCCATGTCGGTTTCAGAGACGCAGCCTCAGAAGTATCATAACCCTTCCAGCAAAGAAGAAGCTCCAGAGTGCCAGTCGGACGATGACGGTGTCCAAGTACGTAGTTGTCCCATGTCGTGGATGAACACGGGCGACGACAGTGGTTGGCATTCGGTGTAGAGCGTTTTTGGTCTTGATAGGGTTTAAGAAGCTGGTATGGAAGGTGTTATGGATCTTCCAAGTGGCTGGTAGGCGGAAGCGGAAGTTGACTGAAGTGGCCCTTGCTTCAACGATGATAGACCCGCAGAAGCAAGGTTGAAGCTTGGATGGAAGTTGGCTGATGTCGAGATTATTGTCTCGAGAAGGGTAGTGATGAGTTGCCAAGTGCTTGTGCTGATGTTGGATGTCCAAGAGGTGCTTGTGTGGTCGATGTACACGATGGTGGACGATGGCAATGAAATCGAAAGCCAGTTGAAGTGTAGCAAGAACTGTCTGTTGCTACGGAGTGAGGAAGGTTCCGTCCATGGCAATGAAGGATGGTGTGTATCGCCGTCAGTGATATATGGGTAGGTGCAAGTTGTGGTGTGATCGGGTGGCGTCCGTAACAGACGAAGTACAGCGTCTGTCCAGTAGCGGCGTCAGGAGCATACTTGTAGGCAAACTCCAGGACGGGCAGATGCAAGTCGGAGTTGGAGATGTGAATGGTTGGAACAGTGTGCTGTAACGTGCAGATGAGTGGCTATGTTGTCCGATCTGTGGATGCTGTTACCCGCATCTGGTCCACGTGTGAAGATCACCAAGTGTTGGTGGTATGGCAGTTGTGTCGTAGTACTGCTTCTGTCGCAGTGTTGTATCCGTTACATGCAGCTTCTGTCGAATACTGGTCCATGCCGTATTGTTGTCGCGAGTCGTACCCACTCGGCATCGTAGTGCTGCGGAATGGAGAGCAGAATCACTAGTAGTAACCCTGTCCACCACGCGGTCTGCTAGTCACACTGCCTTGAGTACAACAGCGCATGCGAAGTGCTGCTCAGCGTATCCCTTGTGTTCAGAACCATGCGAGGGGTCGGTACCACAAACGCGGAGCTGGTAACTTCCAGAATCGGCGCCAAAGTAGTTTCCCTCGATGGTTGCTCGAGCAAGGAATTTG